CTCCCCTACCCTACCCTGCCCTCCCCTCCCCTACCCTGCCGTGCAGCTTCTCGTTGAGTTTGGGCTCTCGGTGCTCACTCCGCTTCACCTTTAGCCACTGTACCAGGGGCTTGATGGTCAGGCCCTGGAAGATGGGACGCCCTGACCTGAGTGTGGGACAGGCCCCGAGGCCCCGCCCCAGCCCCCTGGGCCCCAGTGCGTGCGTCCACACCCGCCCCCGACTCAGAGCAGGGTGAGATGGGCGCCCTCATCCAGGATGAGGCAGCGCAGAGCCCCTGCCGCCTCTCCAGGGCCCATGGGTGGCTCCTCCGAGGGGCCCAAAGCAAGGCCCAGGTGGACGATGAAATGTTAACTGGGGCTCCGTGAACCAGCGACAGCTGAGCAAGGGTGTTTTTAGGCCAGCTGGTGCTGCGTCCCCTGTGGGGCCACATGAAAACCTACAAAACGGCTCCTAGTTACTAAAATTATAAAATTCAATTAGGGCCTGGAGCCTGGAGCAGCTCGCTGACGTGGGGCCTGCCCCTGGCAGCCGGTGGGGCCGGGGCACGGAGGGCAGGCCGCAGGCCAGCCGGGCGGTGGGGCGGCCGAGACACTACCTGGAAGATGACGGTGAAGTAGATGACGATGATGGTGGTGCTGACGAACAGCTGCTTCTCCTTGACCTTCTTCTCGTCCAGAAGGACGACCAGGGCGTAGGCCACGGCCCCGCGCAGGCCGCCGTAGGACATGACCACCTGGTCTATGGCCTCCAGCTGTACCATGCGGTAGCGGTTCAGGACCCAGGTCTGCAGGACGACACCTGCCGGCCGAGGCGTGAGCTCGGCGCCCGCGGGGCACGCGGCGTGGCCCCGTCAACTCTCAGGTCTCAGTGGGGACGCGGCTGTCCCAGACCCTCAGTGCCTCAGGCGGCACCAGGACCAAAGGCCACAGCTGAGGGCGGCGGGAAGAAACCAACCCCGCCCCACCGTGGCATCTGCTCCCTGGAGCCCTGAGTCCCCACGGACTGGGGGAGGACAGGGTGTCACCCCCTCTGGCCCCCATCACACCACACACACACCAGGGACGACGACAGGTACTAGGTGGGGGCAGCTGGCACTCCTGCCTCACATGCGCCAACACTCCTCAGTGACCACACTGTCCCCAAGTCACTCTGACACATCCAAAGTCAGTGGGAAATCAAATGGGTTCCCCTGGGTCCTTCTGGAACCTTCCATCCTGACCCCCAGCTGTCCTATCTCAGTCTCACTGCAATAAGACCAGGAGAAGGCCTAGACCTTCACTGAGTGCCACCGATGGCCAGTCTGAGGTTCCCCAGGGGCTCCTGAACCTGCCCTTCCCTGGTTCCCACGGACTCCCC